CATGAGTTTATTCATTCATATAATAACACTTGCCATACGTGGTACACTACAAAATTTCTTCACATCCTTTGTGAAGAGTTCAAAATTCAAGTAAATGTTTCATCTTATTTTGTTTTTTGTCTTTATATTTTTCTTAGATTGCATTTCATTGTATAAAAATTATAACGGCTATAAAAGAAGATTATCATGACTTTTTCATGAGTTTGCCTTTGTACAGCATTCATTGTAGTTTAGCATCCTCAGTTTATCTTCACCAACACCAAGATAATTCATCTCTGCGATGAAGTGATGAAGTATATTTCCAACTGCAAAATCAATCCCAAACTTGATACAAATAGTGTTGAATAATTTTCCATGCAAAATCAATGTCATGGTCACCGGTGCAATACGAAACGCCACACTGCATTGCTGCGTCCGAGCAACACTTACTATCCATTTGAATAAGCGACATGTAAAAATGATAAATTGAGTGAACCTAACTGAAATCAGGTACACGTATAAAGATTAAGTTTGGATCATTATTAGATTAACTCAAATGTATACAGTAAAAAATTATTTTGGATGGAGGTCAGATCAGCTTACGCATTTTTCTAAAATCTCAATTTCAGTTGTCCAAATTGAATTTGTAGAGACATTTAGAGGTTCTCTAAAGTAAATCTATGTTCAAAACCCCCCATTCTTGTCAAATATATCATTGTTATAAATATGTTTATATTATGTTCAAACTTGTATTGGTTTGGATGAAAGCACATATTTATTTTGTATTTTCATGATAGAATCCACTGTAGTCTGTACATTGTGGAAATAATTAAACAATACGTATAACTTAACCCAGAATCCAGATCCTAACAAGAATCTTTTCCATACATCTATGAAAATGAGTTGGTTAACTGGTGGCCTGGTGCTTCTTATACATTCACTCTAATAGGAATGTGCTTCGCATACGTATATTGTCAGGACAGCATTTTTATCTTCATAGTATCATACTATCATTATTAAAATGTAGAGATGCAACCGTAAATAACATATGGCAATCACATTGATGAAAAATGCCTACCACACTATGCAGCTTTGCAAGGTCAAGTTATGGAAGGCAGTTTCACATGCACATTGCCAACTACAGAATCATCTTCACATTTTTTTTGATAACTCGGGGATATCCTTCACTGCCCCCAGTGGAGCTCGCCACAGCACCATCATTGCAGAGCCCCCACCCTTACTCTAAATAAAACCACAGGGTTGACCAATCCACCCGTTAAAGCAAGCCAACATGTAAATCACCCGAAGGACTATGGGAAACCCTTGCGTGAGTTGAAACCGAGTTGGTAAGAAACTTAAAGACTTAAGTCTCATAGGAGCCCCAACTGGACTACCTTGCTGGGTTAACATCTTCACATTAGTTGGTAGGTCATAATAAGCATCTTTAAGTGGCAGTAAGTCAACAACCAAATAAAGAAGTAAAAAACCACAAGTGTTGTTGGGGAGGTAGCTTTGATCAGGTATGACAGACAAGTAGTATTGGGAAAAATAATACTATCTGAAGAAGTGTCCAATCTAAAGATTTCTAAAGCATTTACACCAATCCAACTGGTAAATGGTACAACTTATTGGATGGTAATTCTTAGACAAATAACACTACTGATATGATAATCTTAACCCAAATATCGTGATAGCTTTTCTTGTATAATAAGCATTAGGGAGTGTTTGTGATTGCTTCAATGCTTCTACCTTCAAAAAGTGATATTCTAAAGTAGTTTAAGAGAAAGTGTTTAAAAGTAAAAGTTAGTAGTGTTCAAGAAAAAAGAGTAAAAGATGGTAGTGTTTGGTAAGAAAAGTGCTCTCAAGAAAAATTGGTAGTCTTTGGAGCAAAAGTAGTAACCCTCCATGGTTGTATTTGCAGATTCTTTCTCACATAATCAGCCATGGATAGATGTTAAAAGCCAAGGATATCTAACATCTCAAGCATTTCAATAGAACCACCATTTAGACCTGTCTAACCTGAATGGAAATCTTCTCCCAGACAAATGGTGGAAGATTTTATTTGGCAATGTAGATAAGCACCATTCAGTGATAAGCAAAACAAGAAAGCATAACTAAGATATTATAATACATCAATAATGTTAAAAGACTCAAAATATGTAAATATTGATTATTTAACACATTAATCGAACTGCACAGTAATTAAATTGACTGAAGAAAACAAAAAGATACTCCATTCATAAAACAAACATTGTATTACCAGCAAAACCCATAGCTCTAGCTAAAATTCTGCTCAGACTCAAATGGAAGTCCAAGCTCCTGTGGCTCGGCATCTTCCTCTTTCTTGCGCTGATTCCTGGGAGGCACTGCGATGGCAATGAACGTCTTGGTCTTGCTAATGGGGCGGCTCTTCTCAAGCTGAACTAAGTCCCCAACTTTGAACTGGTTCAGAGGATCGTGAGCTTGGAACTTCGTCCTCTTCTTGACCCTGCGCTTGTACTTGGGGTGAGGCGCCATGCGGACAACCTCGACGGCGACGGTCTTGTCGTTGGCGGTGCAGACAACGCGGCCTTGCACAGATCTCATGGCCCGGATTGTTGGGGTGAAAGCGGAGGCGCGTGGTTGGTGGGAGGATGAATGAGAAGAGGGGGTGGAGAGACGGTATGGGGATGAGGAGCCATGGAGGAAAGTGGTGGTGAGGCTGAGGGATTTGAATTGGGAGGAGACAGGAAGTTGAAGAAGAGGATAGGGGAGTGACATTTTTGCAGTGTTTGGATAAGTGGTGAGCACCAGAAATTTAAGGCCTCACGGCCACCCTCAAGATTCATTATTGAGAAAATTATCAATTTGATACTTCTGCTAGTAGAAAATCAATTAGATTCTTATATTTTAAAAAAATCAATTAAATCTTTGAATTTTAAAAAAATGTTCAATTGAGTCATCGGGAAATGGTTGACCGTGCTGTCACATTAGCAAATGACTTGCTTATGTGACAGGTAAACTACTAATTGACTCAATTAAACATTTTTACAAATTAAATAGATTTGATTGATATTTTTTAGTATAAGGATCTAATTATCTTTTTTGTGATAGTATGAGAACCAAATTGACAGTTTTTCCTTAATTGTTTATGTTTATCATATGTCATGTTTTAATTATTGTACAGTTTATCTATAAAAACTCCACCGATGAGTGTTTGGAATTGATTGTGCTTCTACTTTCTTTTTAAAAGTCGAAGCAAGAATCCGTTTTTTAGAAGTTGGTCTACGGTCTCCCTCAACTTCTAAAAAACTGCTTTTAGGAGTAACTTGGAGCACGCAAAAGTATTTCTGCACTTTCATTTAAACATTTCAATATCTACTTTTGCTATCTAAAGGGGTAGAAGCAATTTTAGAAAGTAGATGCAAACACCCCCAAAATATGATCCAAAATTATATTTTATTTATCAAAATTCCATAGAATATGACAACTAAGAGTCTGTTTAGTGACCCTGTTTGTCAGCTTATCAGAGTTATCAGATAACTTTTTCACCAAATTAAACACGTAACTTTTGATTTCGTGTGTTGAATTGTGTAATAATAAAAAAAGTAAGGTTGGATTTCGTTTTCTGGCTATAATGACTGAAGCTACAGTACATGATCATTTTAGCTGATTTTTCATATAATTGTTTCTTTATTTTATGAATAAAATATTCTAAATATAATTTCTTCATAATTAGTAGAATCAGCAAATCTGACAACAAAAATCAAAATTGTTAGAAAAATGTGTTAAAAATTGTATTAAATGGTCAATTTGGGGCAATATTTTGAGTAGGGTCCACTCCTGATTTGGGTTGAGTCAAAGTGGTTGTGGATTGTCCTTGCTAAGGGCTACAATTCGATATATGGTACGCTAAAAAAGGATAACGGGTGAATGAGAAATTGATTCTCGAAGTTCACTCATTAAAATGAAAAAACTGGGAAAATGATGTGTTTCTAGTGGGATTTATCCCACACCGGAAATCCCAAAGGATTTTCACCCCTTATAAAGGGAACCCTCTTTGAAGGAGTTAGGATTCCTACATGGAAACATTCTCTTCGCGTGCAAGGGGGTGCCGATCAAATCCTGAAAACGGGGAAGAAAACCGCGACTTGCGTGCGTGGGCGACATACGGGCACGAATTTTTGTTTCTTCGCGTAACGTTCCTTATTTTTTCTAGACTGGCAGCAGGGGGTTCTGTTCTGTCCAACAGAAACGCTCCACTTCTGTCCGGACCAGAAGGGGGTTCTGTTCTCAACAGAAACGCTCTACTTCTATCCGGACCAGCGGGGTTTTTTGACCTCAATAGAAACGCTCGCTCCGCTTCCATTCGGACTAGAAGACCTCTGGTCGCACCAGAACTGCACCAATGCGTTACAACCTTTAATTGTCCAACGTTCTTGTCTTTTAATGCTTCTTTAAATGGACTGTTTTCGACATTTTAATGCCTAACGTGCTAGTCATTTATGTCTAACGTTCAGGTCCATTAAAGCCCAGTTAACACACCACAAATTCGTCCATATATATAAATGACAGGTGGTTTGCAACAACACATCTCACAGCACAGTTAGCACAAACGTTTTGAGCTAAAACACACCTCTAGTATTCCGAAAATTTCCTACGTGTTACCTTGTTCCCGTTCGTCGGAACTTTCGTTTGTGTGCTCAAACGATCGTTCGTTAGTCACTGTATCCTGGGAAACGGTCTTTGCAACGCTCTTACCACCGTGGAAGGTGACGAATATGTTTTAAGGACACACCCAACATTTCTGGCTAATTTCTGTTCCATCTCATTTCTGTTTTCTTTCGCTATTTTAATTAATTAATTAATTTTATTTAATTAATATTTCTTTGTTTTTCCGAGACACACCCAACAAAAACTTCATAAATTTCAGCAGAGTCGGTCAATGTAGTCGATTTAGGTATTGCTAAAGAGGCTGTGCTGGCTGTGCTGTGCATTAGGTAGATTGACTTTCCGGGTTTTGGTTGACTAGTGACCCGGCGGCCGGGTCTATTGCGGTCTTGTTTTAAGTTAGGAAGATAAAATTAGAGAAACTGATAGGCTTATCTTAACATAGTCAACTCGGAACCACACAAATGGGACTTCATATATCCCCCCATTCACAGTCATTTTGCCAAGTGTTTCCCCATGGAATCCCGGGTATATAAAACAAAGAGAGAAAGACCATGGCAACTTAAATTCGATTTGAGGTCCAAAGATATGGTAATTTAAGATTCCCGGAGGTCCGTTTTTGTGAGCTAGGACAGAAAGAAAGACCATGGCAACTCTAGCAACCATTGCTGCTCTCAAGCCCACCACCGTCAATGGCCTGGCCGGAAGCTCCTTTACCGGAACAAAGCTCCCCGTTAAATCATCTCGCCTCAACTTCAAACCCTCCAAAGCAAGGCAGTCAATCTTTACTTTCACTCCAGATTCAAATCTTACTTTCTTTTTTATATACCATCTTTAAGTTTTTCTGGGTACATTTTGAATTGTGGGGGTGGAGAAGTACTTAAAGCTTGTTTATTTATGAATAAGTGGATTGTGTGAATAGGGCTTGTGCTATTGTGGCCAAGTATGGAGACAAAGATGTGTACTTTGACTTGAAAGATATGGGAAACACCACTGGGCAGTGGGACTTGTATGGGTCTGATTCACCTTCACCATACAATCCTCTTCAGGTAGAATTCCCTTCACTTCCTTAATTCATACGAAATACTACCTCCGTTCTTAAATAAATGCAACGCTTTGACTTTTACGCTATTCACATGTTCTACTTTGACTACGTTTTATTTATTAATGTAATAATATTATTTTATGAAAAAAATATTGTTAAACCTGTCTCATTGTAAATTTTCATAATCTAATTTTTTTACTAATATAAAATCATTTATATTAATGGTCAAAGTTGTGTCTCGGCAAGTGTGAAATGTTGATTGTTGCATTTATTTAAGAACGGAGGAAGTATATCATATACTCTGTATATGAGTCAGTGTTCTTTTTCATTGATTCTGGTAGTAGGATAGGGAAATAAAAGCTGTCCAGTGCTTCAACTACATGTTTTTAATGGATAATCCTATAGTGGTATGATTGAAGATTAGGGATCACTTTCTCTTAAATGTGTATATATTGCCTACATTTATGCATGTGTGTGTGTTTCAGTTGTATCAATGTTAGGTAAAACTAGATAGAATATCACTTTGTAGAATACAATTTGTGTAATTGTGTCGAAAAATGCTAGAAGTGCAAACACACTTGCAAATAACTTACAAACAAGTGATGTGGTTGTTCTAATTACCTTTGATGTAAAAGTGTTCTAAAGGTGATGTGATGCGTTAAATAATGTGATGATGCCACATACCCCGTCTCTAACACTTTCAAGAGTTTTTGTACCTTTAACGTATCTCAATTGTGTCGTACCGACTTGGTATAAAATTATAAACTAAGACGTAGTATATAACATTTTAGGATGGAGCCTGTGCTTTAATATGATATTCAAATCAGGTGTGGTTGTACTCTAATTGTTAATTTGACTCCTATAATTCAGGGTAGTTCGTTTAGTGTCCGTTTGGCTAATTTATCCAATCCGGTTGGACTTGAGTTGAGAGGCGTGTTGAAGCATTTGTCATAGAATTAAACTAAATTCAATTTGTCTAGCCCTGTTCGGTTAGGGCTGATAGGGTATTGAAGTATTTGTCCTAATATATAAGCAAAATAAATATATAAGTCATAAGATGCTTATATGCTAATGTATAAATAAACTAATATAGAAGATCATATGCTAAATTTTAGGCTGTAAGATTAAGCTCCGTTTGGTAGCTAGATGTGCCTTATTTTGATCGTTCTGCATTATAACTGAAGAAGTAGCTTTTGAATTAATTATTTGGATGAAATGTATGTTCCCAAACAGAGCAAGTTTTTCAAGAATCAAGGCAGAGAATTGGTTCACTCTTATTTCGATTATTTTTTCTGTAAGGTTCTTATACCGTCAATCTCAATTGGAATGAAAAATTGCAGAGCAAGTTTTTCGAGACATTTGCTGCTCCATTTACGAAGAGAGGTCTGTTGCTGAAATTCTTGCTGCTAGGAGGTAGTTCCACTCTGCTTTACCTTAGCGCTAAGGCAGATCGCAACATTCTTCCTATCAAAATGGGCCCCCAACTTCCTCCCGTGCCTGGACCCCGCGGAAAGATCTAACTATGTAATTGTTTGATGTATCTGATGTACCTCTCTGCAGCTTGTACGTATAAAGAAAGCCTACTTAAGACCATATATTTGAAATTCACCACTTGAAATCTCACATTGATGAGAACCCCCTACTTATTAGTTTCATTAATGTTGGTATACCATTTCCTTGCATTGTTTGGGATTTGATACTCTTTGTTAGTGTGGAAATCATAATTGAGAATGTACAAGGAACCATTTCAAACCAAACAAGCCATATGACTGAGTCTGTGCTTACAAGTATACAACCACATCGCTATATTCTATAAAATACTAATGTGCAGTACTATATTACAATTTGACTATTTGAAGGTTCAACCTAGGGATGGATCGGTCCGGTTCTGACCAGCCCGAAACCCGGTCCGGACCACCACTGTGCAGTACCGGATCGGCCCAGTTGACCGGGTATGAGACCGGTCTTTAGGGCCCGAACCGGGCTTAGGGGGGCAGGCTACGGGTCGCGGAAAAAGGAGACCAGCCCAGCCGGTTCGGGCCAACGGCCATATCTAAAAAAAACTTTAAATGGCTTTGGGGGGTGTACAAATACTCCAAACGGCTCTATAGCCGTTGGAGGCTCCTGGGGGCGAGGTTGGGGTTTGGGGGTTTGGGCCTTTGGGGGTGGGAGTGGGGGTAAAAAAATTATAAATACTCCTAATTCTCAACATTTTTCTACACCTATTCTCCGATTCTTCCTACTCTTATATCCTCTAATCATCTCCATCTTCACTAATTCTCTCTACACCTAATTAATACTTCCTCCGTCTCTTTTTAATTGCAACAGTCAACATTTTATGTTTGCCAACGCACAACTTTGACCGTCATTATATTTAATTCTGTATTAGTAAAAATAAAATAAAAATCAGATTATAAAACTTAGTAATGAGACGAATTTAACAACATTTTTCAAAAAAAATAATTCACATACATTAATAAATAAAATGTAGTCAAAGTAAAGTACACGAATAGTGTATATAATCCAATGTTGCAATTAATGAGATACGGAGGATAGTATATATCATATCTATTTAAATTAGTTATACAATTATTATATCTACTTATATACTTATTATCTACATATAAATACATATATTATATTACTTATATTTATTATCTACTTAATACATACTTATTATCTATATTAATATCTACTTAATATATTACATTTTAAGATGGAATGTGGTAGACATTTTGTAGATATAGGTAACCTCCAACGCAACAGAAAGAAGGAGATTGGGATGAATCATCCTACTTCACGCAAAGGTAAAAGACATATCGGGTCTCTCCTTATGAAAAACAATTACACAAAATGGAAGGAAACGACATGTAGAATGTGGTGGGCAACTTGCTACCATTTTAACGGAAAAATCTTTTTGGGAATTTCGCATGGATACAGAGGCGCGAATAGCCATTTGAAGGCAAACCACCCCGAGGAGTATGCAAAACTAAAAGTCTAAGGAGACGCGAAGTATTTTTTCCCGCTTTTTTATAATAGGCTATTAAGTATATTATCGATTCATAAAAAAAACTATATTATCAATTGTACTTCATATTTCAATATATATGCATTGATTTTTTTTTACTTCTTGAATTAATTTTTTAAACAACATTTACAAAAAACAATAAAGAGCCCAACCCGAGACCCGGGCGGGTAGACCGGACCGGGCCGATCCCGGTGGAATCGCGGGCCGGTGCCAGGCCTTACCCCCAAAAAATTGGTACCGTCCGGGCCGGTCCCGAGTACCGGACCAGTACCAGTCCAACCCTAGTTCAACCTAATTGAACAAATAACCTAATGTCTTATAGGTGTTAGTCAGTGCACACTTTCACTTGAGGAATCATTAGAGGTACATTACTTGTTAACATCAAAAAAAAGGAAGAAAAGTATATTATCACATCAAAGTTAACAACATATTGGTTTGTATTTTATATTTAGCTAATGTGAGACATACTCTTCCACATTATAATATGTATGGCTACTTAGCCATACTCTATGAGGCGAGTATTCATCTTAATATTTACACATGAGACCAAGTTGTTAATCCATGGTGAAGTATTTAGTGCCGTGCTGTTGGACTTCGAGAGCCCGCTATGCTCTCAACGTAGGAAGTTTTCTTGATGGGCAATATGCCATATGGTTTGCTTGGGAACTTTGTGTCCTTTACACTCATCAAGCCGTCCTTATTTAAACCAACCCCTCCTTGGTCCAATGGCGCCCAACCCATGAAGTCCCACAATGTCATTGATGTAGGCGTCTCTTCATTGGCATATTTACCTTCTTTCAGAACATTCCTCTTTGTTTCTTTGGCATAGTTACTTTGAGCAACGATATCTGCCTGTAAAACATCTTGTATTCTTGACAAGATTGTGTAAGCCAAGCTCTCAATCACTCTTGAATAGCTTTCGAGTACTGCTTGCCCAACATCCTAGCAATCAAGAAACCCCACAATAAGATTAACAATGGGGTGTGTTACCATGCACCAAAAGGTCATTACTTTGTAGAAAGAATCTAATAGAAAAAATAGTCCAATGTCTTATATATTGATTTGCGATGATTCAACATGCACCCAAGATAATGGCCTTTTCTAGCGTGAAATATGTGATCTCGTTTTTAAGACTCACTAGAAGCAGGACAGAATTGCTTGTTTGAGCTTATACGAAAAGCAGTCCAGTCTCTTATATTGATTTGTTATTTCAAATAATTATGATGTGTGATATCTTAACGCTTGAAATAGGTCTGTGATGAGGATTAAAAAAGTACTCCATTGTAACTTGTAAGCTTGGACGGTCTAGAACAGGAACTGGACCAGCTAGTATCTTTACCAGATATTGCACTGGAGAGCAGTTCTAGAACCCACACTTATGCCAATCATTTTCTAGTTTAGCTCCGGTTTCTTTTTAGCTTGCAAATCCAATTTAGAACTGGGTAAAAACGAACCCAATGTGGACCAGAGAAATTGGTTCTAACTGCACTAGAACTGAACAAGCTATAACCAGTTCCAGTTAAGACGTCTTATATTTTGTGATGGAGCTGGACCATCCCCACCCCTATCAGTAGGTAATGATATTGAAGTCTTACTTACTTTGTTGTACTGGATTTTGCTGATGTCGAGTGAAGATTGAGGAATTCCTGGGTAGCGGTGCTTGAGAATGAGCAAAATAGTTTCTGCCCTTTCTTCAAACAACTCTCTCTTTTCCATACTGACGGCTGAACCCCAGGTTGACTTTTCTGTTTTGGTGCTCATCTTCCGCCTCCATATCACTATTGAGGCTTCAATCTTGTTTTTAAGCTCTAAGATTTTATGTTCTGAAGCCAACCCCATTGTTGACAGAAAATAATCTGGATCAAAATAATCATCTGTGATGCTCTTGTATATTGAGTCCCCAAGGGTTGCTCTCCCATTCTAGTATCCAAAAAACATAAGTTTTGCTTAATAAATCTTCCAAATGATGATATAGGAAGTGCAATGGAAGCGTTTTGAGTTCCTCATTGCTTAGGGCCCATTTGGTTAGTGTTATTTGACTAAACCTAAGTTTATGAAAGGAAAAGCTTTTGGCAACAACTATTCTAGTTAAATTAGTCAACAGTTACTTAGTGGCGCCATTTGATAAAAACTTTTTTGCCTTATCATTGAGATTTGTTTGTAAAATACTAATTCATTTATTGCACAATCTGAAATGGTGAAACAAGGTAAAAGGACAAGACATTTTTTTGCTGGAATTGCTAAAGTTGCCAAATATGACATTTTACTCATAACTCGGCAACTTCATTCAACAATTTCAGTCTAACTCACTCTTGACTAAACCTAAGTTTATGAAAGGAAAAGCTTTTGGCAACAACTATTCTAGTTAAATAAGTCAACAGTTACTTAGTGGCGCCATTTGATAAAAACTTTTTGCCTTATCATTGAGATTTGTTTGTAAAATACTAATTCATTTATTGCACATTCTGAAATGGTGAAACAAGGTAAAGGGACGAGACATTTTTGAAAAATGCTAGAAGTATAAACACACTTACAAAAAAACTTACAAACAAGTGATGTGGCTATTCTAATTACCATTGATGTAAAGTGTTGTAAATGTGATGTGATGTGTTAAATAATGTGATGATGCCACATAGCCCTTTTGTAAGACTTTTTGTAAAAGTTTTTGTACCTCTAGCATAACTCGACATTTTTTTGCTGGAATTGCTAAAGTTGCCAAATATGACATTTTACTCATAACTCGGCAACTTCATTCAACAATTTCACTCTTGCAAAGTGGACTCTTACTCTGCTGATAAGCATAAAAAGCATGACACGCTACCAAACAGAGCCTTACCTTTGGTAGAGAATCTATATAACTCTCTGGGATTTCCATCTCAGAAAGAACTTGAGAATTTATGGCCATTGCGGCTTTGAGAACTTGGTTGACAGAATCCTTTTGAGACTGTAACCATTTCCTTGCAGAATCAGGCAATCCATTTGGAGGGACCTTAGGAGTTGGTATCCACCATTTGTCATCTTTCCTGCTGTTTTTGCCTTTATGTACACCACCACCACCATCATCCTTTGTTGATGTATTATCATAGAAGAACTCATTTTGATCCTTGAAGGTATCTAAGCAATCCTGTTGATTGGTTTTATATGCATCAGTATATATGTATTTGTGTATAGGTCTCGCTGTGTCTAAGAATCCATTAAGGTGTGTTTGGATGAAGGGGTTTGGAGAAAAAGGGTTTTAAGGGGTTAGAGTGAACGACTTGAAATGCACACAGCACACTTGAAAGCAATGCTTGCTGCATTTATTGAAGCCATTACTATTGTAGTTTTTATACAGTTAAAACCCGCCTCTCTAAACAAAAAACACCAGTTGATAGTTTCTATAAAAATAGTTTGTCTGGAAAAGTGTTTTTTCTAAGACATTCCAAGAGCACCTAGTCTATATACTGATTCTATCTCTATATTTGATTTATTTTCTAAAAATGAAAAAATAACATAGCATATGGTATTAAAAGTTTCAATCGCTTTTTATCCGTTTGTAGAAATATTCTATTTATAAAGAAATATATGCTAAGACTTCCAAAACTTCCCTCTCCAAAACCCCACATCCAAAGTTACACGTATACAAAATAGAAACCTTATGAAGAGAGCAGCAATGATTCTTACAATGAGCATCGAGTCTAACTTGCGGAGTGCTGGAATATTCATTTGGAGATCAGCTCTTTGCTTGGTTACCATAATCTGTCAAAAATGCATTCTTTGCCTTAAAAGAAATTACTGCAGAGTAAACTATCTTTTTTATGCACAAAGAGGATCATCCATATGTTCTGCTAAAACAGAAATTATTCAGTTCTGGTGAAAGCATTAAACTATTAATAATTACGTTTTAGGATTAAACGAGTCCTCCTTTTGTGAAATGTAGAAATGTGCTCAATTTTGCTCTTCTATGTGGAATTTCTCATCCTTTTGACCATCCATACTTGGCATTTAGTTTACGTAAACATTTGTATTAATTGTTTAAGAATTCTATAAAAATATAACCCCAAATACATAGGTGCAGAAGATGGTAAAGTACTATACCTCCAAGATTGTTCCATCTTTTGATGTTTGGTTGGAAGGAACGAATTCAACAATGTGATCAGTGACAGATAAAAGCCAATTGATTTCTTTTCTCCACCTCTCTTTCCTTTCTGCTGCCATTGGTTCTAATTTCTTTATTTCCCCAAAAACAGAAGCTGCAATTTTTTTTAATCTTTACGTTGATGAAAGTAAAAAAAAAAGAGAGAGAAAGAAGATCGCTTAGGTAAAAACCCATCAAAGCACAAAGGTATATCCAATGTATATATACCTGCTGTATTTGTGATCGCATTTGACAGCGCTAATGCAGACGAAACACCCTTTCCACCGCCTGACATATCCTCGCCAAGGAGCAATTTTGCAAACCTCTCCTTCATTAGCTCCATATCTAAAAGTTGATCAAGAACGACACAAAGATGAGAAGTCAAAGCCCTAATTCCAAAAGAAAGAAAAGAAATCAGAAAGATTCAAGCTTTGGGAAATGGGTACCCGATGCTTGCTCATCTTTGGCATTTCCAACCGCCCGAACCATCTACTCTGCGATTCAAGCAGGCCTGAAAATGGTGGGATCAGAAAAGACCCAAAAAGATCAGAGGGAGAAGATTAGTGTGGTGCTGATGGGGTTAATGAATGTTTAACGTTGTAGATGATGAAGAATTGCGTATGTTTAAGGTTTGATGGGTGAGACTGTGAGAGAACGTGGGGTGCAGGTTCCGCAATGGAAAGATGAACCAAGGCAGAAACTCGCTGAAATTGAAACGGCGTTGACAAATTGTTGTGTGTTTTTTGCTGTTGTAAAATGATCTGTAGGATTGGTGTGTGATTAAAGTTCGCGTAATGGGTGACAGATCATTAAGCGGTGGCGTAATCCTCCATCTCGACTCGTGATGATTTTACGGTACTCACCTCCAAAAAAAGGCAGACAGGCTCACGGAAGGTAGACAGACAACTTCCCTAGTAAAAGTGTAAAACCAATGGTGTCAGCCTGTGAAAGGCAATAGTAGTGAAGTTAGCAGCATACCGGATATTATGGTGTGCGGAGACTAAGAAATGCAAAATATTTCAATTCCATAAATACATTTTAATACGGAGTAGTTAATAAAATATTTATAGAAAGCAGAAAACACAATTTTTAGTCTATCCATTAGTTTTTGTACCGGTCAACAACATATTTCTTTTTCTCTCTCTAGGGTGAGCCTTCGACACTGGGGCTTTTCTGCCCTATCCGTCATTCCCCGGAGCGGCGTCGTGACGTGATAGTCAGGTGAGTGAGCGGGGAAGTTTCCGCAAGAGTTGTCGGCGGCTTGAGGGTTGTGACTCAACTGCTGAAGCGAGACGATTACTCAATCGAGGGTGTTGATGGCCAATAGAGATCGCGGCTGGAGGTCTGCGTTTCGAGTTCAACGACGTCTACGGGGTTGTTTCTTCAATGGAAGATATTGTTAACCAATATAAACAGATGGCATTAGGCGAGGATCGCGAGGAATTGACCTTCGATGACGACGGAGGTGAAGCGGCGGTAGGCAGGGGAAGGCGTCCTTTCTGGTGGTGGGCATGATACTCACATATCGAAAAATCAAATTCCAGGTCTTCAAGGAGCTTATGGCATCTCTGTGAAGTCCGGTTAAATGTGTGTCAATTAAGGAAATTGATGAAAAGAGGTATATCTTTACTTTTTATCACAGTTTGGATATGAGGCGTGTGTTAGATGAAGGTCCGTGGTTGTTTGAGAGGAATTTGCCGATTCTTAAAGAGATTACGTCTGAGGACATCCTGCTAAAGATTAGTATGAATGGGGTGGAATTTTGGGTACAGGTTCATAATGTTGTTTATGGTTTTATGAATCTAGGATCAGCTAGGAGAATTGATAACTACATTGAAAATTTTATTAATATTGATGAGAGCCAGTTTGATGAAAAAATGGGATGCTTATATGCGGATTATGGTTTGTATGGGTATAAGGAAACCCGTGAAAAAAGATACAACTTTGAAGAAAGGAGGAATTGGCCATTCTGATAAATTTTGTCGAGTAGTGTATGAGGGAGACGACACTCCGTTAGACATATATGTATAGGAATACCGCTTAAAAGTGATAGCCAGTGAACAGGAGGTCAAGGCTGGAAAGAGGCTACTACTGAAACTGGAATGAGCTCACTAAGGGAGGAAATTCTGTGAGCTCGGGGGAGACATCGGGAGAGCAAAAGCGCAGAAGAATCTGGGAGGAGAAAGAACGAGAGGATCCAGCTGCAGAGAATATGGTGCTTGAAAGGCCAAAAAATGGAAGGGAGACTGGTCTAGACCAGTAGGTCCGCCAGCAAGTCTAATGGTGTGTGGCATGCCTTTTGCTTGGGTGGTGGCGGTGCACTTAAAGACGGAGAAGGATATTTACTTTACTGCTATTTTTGTTGTTTTTTCTTTAATCACACTGTTTAATTTTATGTTATTTTTATTTATATATGGTTGTAAGACTCATGCATTAGGATTGGGGGATAGAAGGTCCGATGCAACTGTCTTTGGCTCATGTAAGCCCATTGTCTATCTTTGCTTAAGAACACTTAAAGACTTGTCTCAAAGTATTACCTTGAATGAATTTCTTAAAATCTACCTTGGCATATAATAACATATTCTCCGCTTTGGTACTTCAGGACCTCACGGCTTTAAAACGCGTCCACAAGTAAGGGCCACAGCTTATAAATACACACACTATCTCGTGTGTAAGCGGTTTGGGAACTTCATGTTCACAATATGTTGGAGAATGTGTTAAAAATTGCATTAAATGGACAATTTTGGGCAATATTTTGAGTGGGGATCACTTCTGATTCGGGTCATGTCAAAGTGGTTTCGGATTGTACTTGTTAAGGTCATGTCAAAACGGATAACGGTGAATGATAAATTGATTCTCGAAGTTCACTCGTTGAAATGGAAAAACTGAGAAAATGATGGTTTTCTAGTGTGTTATTTTCCACACCGGAAACCCCAAGATTCTTTGGTGGAAAGGCTCTCTTCGCGTGCAGGGGGTGCCGATCAAATCCCGAAAATGGAGAAGAAAAAACACGACTTGCGTGCGCGGGCGAGCTGCGAACATGGATGTCATAAAAAAATCTATCTTTCAAAGATACGAGTTAATTTTTGTTTTTTCCCGTGACGCTTCATTTTTCCGTATCAGATTGCTCGGACCAGAAGGCTCCATATCAGAATGCTTCTGATCAGCACGCTTCTGATCTGAACGAGAAAGCTCCGGTCAAGACTCTTCTGAAACGTTACAAACAATAAGTGCCCAGCGTTCTGCAGTGTTAAATGGACAATTCATGGACAAATCAATGCCCAATGGTCTGGTCATTGATGCCTAACGTTCAGGTTCATTATCTCTCCATTAACTCACAACAAATTCTTCCTATAAATAGCTCACCAGTGCTTTGCAACAACACATGTAATTATACACAATTTGCACGTAGTTTTGAGTTAAAAATCGCCCCTAGTTTTAATTTCTGAAAACTTTCCTTTAGTGCTATTGCTTGTTACCGTTCACCGGAATTGTCGTTTGTGTGCTCAAACGATCGTTCGTTAGTCATCGTATCCTGGGAAAAAAATTGTTGCAACACTCCTAGCACCGTGGGAGGCAACAAATGCGTTTTAAGGACATTATGCGTTGCACGTGATTTGACTAATTACTGTTCCATCTCTTTTCTGTTTTTTTCTTAGGCTGTTTTTAATTAATTTTAATCAATTAATTTTCTTTGTTTTTCGAGAACAAACCCAACACATTACACCCAATTTTAAATCAAGTTTATGCTCTTATAGTGACTTCTAGCACTTTGTTATAAATTCATATTTCCATTCCTGAAATTTTATTTCTTTTCTCCCTCTCTCGAGTAGATTAACTTGAACTAGCCATTATACATGACAGGCATCAGTCGGAAGGTGATCACCCACCGGTTGACCGTCGATCCGGCCTACGCACCTGTCAAGCAGAAGCGACGCTACTTGTCCGCCGACAGACGGGACTTCGTCAAGGGGGAGGTCGTCATGCTCCTCTCAATCAACCACATCAAGGAGGTGAAATACCCGACGTGGCTAGCCAACGTCGTCCTCGCCCAAAAACCGCCGACATTCAGAATGTGTGTTGATTACACTGGCCTGAACAAGGCGTGCCCCATGGACCTGTTCCCTCTCCCCGACATTGATCAATTGGTGGATGAGACAGCGGGATGCGAGTTGATGTTGTTCCTTGACGCCTTCAGAGGGTACCACCAGATTTTCATGCATGAAGATGACGCTGAGAAGACAACCTTTATGACCCCGGAGGGAATTTTTTGCTACCTCGTCATGGCTTTCGGACTCAAAAACTCAGGCGCCATCTACACCAGGATGGTGGCTAAGATCTTCAGGACGGTACTCGGCCGGACGATGGAGGCATACGTCGATGACATGATTGTCAAAAGCAAGCGGGCCACCACGCATGCTGACGACCTCCGGGAAATTTTTGAAATCATGAAGGAGTTCAAACTCCGCCTCAACCCCAAGAAGTGCGCCTTTGGCGTCCAAGGCGACAAGTTCCTCGGCTACATGGTCAGTCGGAGAGGCATTGAAATAAACCCGGAGAAGATACAGGCCATCATCGATATGGAGCCGCCCCGCAACGTCAAGGAGGTACAACGGCTAACAGGGCGCCTGGCGGCCCTAAGCCGTTTTCTCTCCAAGTCAGCCGAAAGGTCACTCCCTTTTTTCCAGATCATGCGCAAAGCAAACAGCTTCAAGTGGACGACGGAGTGCCAGGAAGCATTTGAAGAACTAAAGAGGTACCTTTCGTCCCCGTTGGTGCTCTCCAAGCCCAAAGTCGACGAAACCCTCTTCCTATACTCGGGGGTGAGCACGTCGCCCATCAGCTCCGTGCTCATCCGCGAGGACGAAGGGGTGCAGAAGGCCATATTCTACATCAGCAAAACACTCAGGGAGGCCGAGCTCAGGTACTCCCCCATTGAGAAAACGGTGCTAGCCATCGTCCATACGTTGAAAAAGCTGGGGCACTACATCCAGGCCCATGCCGTCCACGTTCTGACCCAGCAGCCCCCTTGGCGCACTAATGAGGAGCCCCACTAGCTCCTCAAGGATGGTGAAATGGGCGATTTTCCTCAGCCAATTCCAAATTGAGATCAAGCCAAGGCCATCTATCAAAGGGCAGGCCTTGGCCGACTTTGTCACCGAATGCACAGCGAGGGAGACGACCACTACTACCCTCGGGCCAGAGCCAGATGACATGTGGATCCTGTTCACCGACGGCTCGTCGGCCACGAAATCATGCGGGGGCGGCGTCGTCCTCATCTCCCCTGAAGAATCATAGCTTACTATGCCATCCGCTTCAACTTCTCGGTGTCCAACAACGAAGCCGAGTATGAGGCCCTCCTCAACGGCCTCAGACTTGCCGCCGGCCTCAAAGCCAAGCACATCAGAATCATGTGCGACTCCAAGTTGGTGGTAGGCCAGGTTGAGGGTACGTACGAAGCAAAGGAAGGCCGGATGAAGCAGTACAAACAGGCGGCAGAGGAGTTGCTGAAAGCGTTCGAAACCCACGAGATCACACAGATCCCACGGGCCGAAAACACCGAGGCCGACATCCTCTCCAAGCTCAGCTCGGATACTCCAGAGCACATCTCCAAGTTAGCCAAGATCGAGGAGCTAAGCATGTCCAGCATCCATGCCAACCCCATCTTGCGCATCCAACAGCGGCCGGAGGACTGGATCTCCGACATCACCACCTTCATCACCACGGGGGAGCTACCCCAGGACGAGGAGAGGGCCAAGCTTGCCAAGCTTAGGGCTCCAAGCTACACTATTGAAGAGGGCAAGCTCTACAAGCGATCCTACAACGGCACTCTCCTCCGATGCCTGCACCAGGACGAGGCCGAAGTGGCCATGGAGGAGGTTCACTGTGATGTTTGCTCTTCACACCAGGGCCCTTTCAATATGTCCAGGCGTCTCGTCGTCCAGGGCTATTTCTGGCCGACGATGGCGCGGGATTGTGCAGATCTTGCCAGGAAGTGTACCACATGTCAGGTGCTCCAGAAGGCCCCTGATCGGCCAGCCGTCAGCTACACCCCGTCAGCACTGCCATTCCATTCTCGAGGTGAGGGATTGACCTGGTCGGCCCACTACCCAGAGCTGCTGGCAACAATCGCTACATCATCGTCGCAGTCGACTACTTCACCAAATGGGTCGAAGCGGAACCTTTGGCCAGCATCACAGGGGCGAGATGTCAGAAGTTCGTCCATAAGAATGTCATTACCCGCTTAGGCGTCCCCCAAGAGATCATATCTGACAATGGCACCCAGTTCGAAGCGGCACCCTTGCAGGAGCTCCTTCGAGAATGGGGAATAAAGCACCGTTTCTCCTCCGTTGCCTACCCTCAGGGCAACGGGCAGGTTGAGAACGCCAACAGAACTATAATGGAGGGGCTGAAGAAGAAGCTTCAGGACGCAGGAGGAAGTTGGGTCGACGAGCTCCCCAACATCCTGTGGTGCTATCGTACTACGCCAAGGAGGGCAACAGGTGAGACACCTTTCGCCCTGTGCTATGGCTTTGAAGCAAAGGCACCCACGGAAGTCGCCATTCCCAGCCGACGGGTGGAGCAGTATGACCCTCAGGTCAACGAGGAGAACATGAAAATCGACCTCCACCTGGTTGAAGAGAGACGCGAACAAGCATTCATCCGGGCGGAGAACTACCGGCGTCAAGTGAAATCATACTATGACGCCAAGGTACGTTCCCGGGAGTTTCAAGTGGGGGACTACATCCTCCGCCGAAGGGAATCAAGTCAGCCGACGGAAGGGGGAAAGCTAGCCTTGAAATATGAAGGTCCCTACATCGTCAGTGCCGTGGTAAAACCCGGCACCTATAAGCTTATATGCCCAAATGGGACCAATGTACCACGAACGTGGAATGTACACCATCTGGTGAAGTTTTATCAATAATCCGAAGGAGGTGCAGTCGGCGAAGCCCTCACCCCTTGACGGATTATTGATTGAACACCACCCTCGGCCTCGAGCCACTTATGAATAAAAGTCGTGTTTCCCTTGAAATTTTGGAATTCAAGTAAAATATTAACGGGTGCCCTCATCGGCCTCCTTAGAGCGAAAGGCTCGGGTATGGCCGATGTGGCGCTTTACATCTGCAGCCTTAGAGCGAAATGCTCAGGTATGCCCCATTGTATTTTGTATCGGCGAAAGGTTTAGGCCCAGCTGAGAGAGCACGTCGTATCGGCCCCTCAGAGCGAAACGCTCAGACAGGGCCGACGATGTCCCCAAGACGGCGGACCCGCAAACGGCTCGCGTCTTGAAATGGGAAGTTCATCGTGTCGTCCACGTGCCTGATCGCAGGACGACAAGCCTGAAATAATGGCCGAGGTGACAAAATCCCCAAACTCAGGGTCGGGCAACGACAGCCGTTGGCAACCAACCAAAAGTCTAGCCCGCGTCATAAATAGGCGACGGGACCCCCCTGAGACCATGGGCGTTATAAACGAAGTCCAAACCGGCCGGAGGACTATCGCCCCCTTCGGCTGAAGCCTGAAAGAAGAACACTCCCCAAAATAGGGAACAAAAAAAAAAAGAGAAAAGCTGAGGACCGCGCGCACTTGCCGGCCTCGAGCAGTAAAAAAAAATCTCCACGAATCAAGCCACACAATTGGCTAAGTACATATCAGTTGAATACAAAGGTAACACTACCAACAGCTAACACGGACGAAGCGGCCACCCTCTACGAGGAAGGTGTCAAGGACGGAGCATGCACCTATAGAATCCTAACCAAGTGGTTGGGTGAAACGAGGGGGTTACCTTCATCGGCCATGACCGACCGAAGTTCCAACACTTAGCATGCAAACCAAGAGTCCCAGCTTGACACTTAACACAATCCTGGAGTTGGACACCGGAAAGGAGGTCCAGGACGAAGCGGGCACTCAAACACTCGCGGGAAAGTTGAACACACCGGCGGCAACCCTTACCGGCCACAACATTCTCGCTGGCCGTTAAAGGCGCTAAAACCGAAGCAGCTGCTTAAGTTGAACACTTAGAAAAATCTCAAAGGCAAAAGGGAAAACACATCCCCAAGACGAAGCGAACAACAGAGAAGAAAGTTGCCTAAGTGAATTTCAAACACTTAGAGAATTTTTTGAAGAAGGCAAATGCGAAGGAAAAGGCAAGCACCCGGGTGCGCAACACACGGGTACCTTCATCGGCCACACCGCCCAAATTGGCCGACAACGGTACTAAGCAGACAAAACTACATGGCCCAACACTTAAAGAAATCTCCAAAGTATTGAATAACGAGGGGACAACCTCAAGCCGAAGCGGGCACTCAAACACTTGCAGGTGCCCGCCTCGGCCCCAGCAACGGGCGGTAGTTATCTATGTTCTGGTTTGACACCTAGACAAATTTCAAAATTGGAATAACGAAGGCAACAAGCAAACACATTTAAAGCCAAAGGGGACAACAATACTATCCACTCAATCAAGGCTAAGTTACATAGGAGGGCGCTTCGGCCATTACATTCAGACGGCAAAGGACAGGCCCCCTCATCGGCTACGACTACAGATATCAGATGTGACTTCCTGTTCAAACACGGAGCATGGGAACAAAAAAGGCCGAAAAGAACACAGGGCCGACGAGATCACCAAGTGTGGCATTTAGTTCAACACTTAGAAAATTTTCCAAAGTCTCGGGCAAAAGAAAAAGGGGGTGTGATGCCAAGACGACGCGGACACCCACTCACTTGAAACCTTGGTACTTAGAAAAATTACCTAAGTCCCAATTCCAAACACTTAGAATTTTTTTGAAAAGTTTGAGAACAGAAGCAAAAGGAGAACAAGACAACGAGAAGACAGAATAAGGCCGGAAACATTGCACATTTCATTCATAAAAGAAGTCATTACATCAGGAGGGCTCAACGGCCATTACAAAAAAAGAGAAGGGCATTACAAACACCAGCCTAGCTAAGTTACATAATAAGTCAGCCGATCAACTCTCGGGGACGGTTTCATCGGCCACTCGCTCCGCTTCGGCTTGCCCCGATACAGCCCTGTTACCCTCCTCCGTCCTCGCACCTCCACTGGCTCGGCTGCTGATGAGACGTCGGTATCGGCTAAGGTGTCATCACCGGACCAGTCAGGCTCGTCGATGGAAGTACTGAGCACCGGATCTTGCCTCTCAGACGGGGGGAGCTTCGCTTCGGCCTCCGGATCCCTCATCAGCCGTGGAAGCTTCAGGTTCTTCTTAGCCCACTTCTGGGTGAGCTTCAGCTTCTTGAATGCCCGGTGCAGCCGCCGGTATATCAGCCGTTACATCCTCTGCTGACCCATGTCATAGTAGACAGCCATTTCACGAGCAAAGTACTCCTGGCCAGCAGGGCAGTTCTGGCCTCAGTCTTCAAGCCGGTCCGCCACGACTTCATAGCACTAGGGCCGACGGTCATCGGCCTTCCAGCCTTCGGCAAGGAACCTCTCGATGGCGCCATCAACGGCCTTCTCAGCGGCCCTTTCAGAATCCGCCTGAGCCCTCGCGGCGTCCTCGACCCGAAGCAGGGCCTCATCGCGGCTTCTCAGGGCTTCATCACTGACCCTCAAAGCATCGTCCCTATCGGCTGCCACCTGTCGGTAGGCCACGTCGACCTCATCAACCCCCTTCTGTAGGGCCTTCACCTCCTCCCGGAGCCGATCCAGGCAGCCCATGGCCTCCTCGGCCGAAGCAGCTTTCTTCTCGGCCTCCCTCAAGCGGGCAATCTCTTGCTCTTGTCGCTTGTGGCTCTCCATCAGCATAAGAGCACCCTGCAACAAAAAGGACAAAACGAAGAGTTAGGATGACGCAAAACCCATGACATAAGAAGACATAAGGTACGAAGAACTTACTTGGATGATGAGGTCCATACCGCTGTCGTAGATCTTGACGGGACCCAGCTTCTTCAAGTAAGCCCGATCCTCGACCGGAACAACTTGAGCCAGGACATCGTGGCCGTCAACGGCGTCGTTGAAGACGCCACCCTTCACAGGATACTCGATCTCGAGCTTGTAGGTCCCACCGGCCAGCTTCTTGCCGGCCCTCTGCTTGCGGGGCTCTTGGCCGACAGACGGCGGCTGGGTTAGAGCCGTTGAAGAGGGGACCGAAACCGCGTCCACAACGGCAATGGCATTTGAGCCTCCAGCATCATCATCCGGCACGGTCATACCACTGGCACTAGTATCGGTCAGAGGGGAAGCCCTCCTCGGCTTCTTGGACTGCATGCCGGCCTCAGTGAGCTTTTTCTGGCCGTCATCCGCGTGTCGTTTCTTCTTCGGCTGCATAGGTGGCTTCTTCGCCGCATCGGAGCTTGGTTGGGCGCCTCCCGCAGTGGCCATCTTCGCGGCCTCTTTTGCGGCCATCTCCTCCTTCGCCTTAGCTTTGGCTAGGGCCATGATGGATCTACGATCCATAGTGAAGTCTGCACAACAAGAAAGACAAACAGTTAGTAAGAACAAAAGAAAACATAGATGAAGACGCCATAGAGGGTATTACCATCGGCGTCAGCAGGCACGCCCATATCCGGGCCATCGGCCTCCTCGAAGGTGGTGGTCATCTTCGGCCACAGCTCGATATCACTTTCCTTGTCGCCATATACATGATACCTCATGAAGCCGAGGGCGGTCATCTTATACTTCGTGATGTAATGTTTCACGCTCCTCGGCCCTTCATTCACAAACGCCGCTACCTGGGCATCCAAAATACTGCTCTTCGGCACGTCGTGAAGGGTGAACCTACCGTCATGACCAACTGAGGGAAACTCCGTGCCGTCCTCACCCAAGGATACTAAGACGAACTTGCTCTTCCAACCATGAATGGACGAAGGAGGTCAGTGAAACTCCTCTTCTTCTGCAGCTATTGGAGATTAGCATAACCAACACAATTTTTGTGGCTCCCTCGGCCGATCTGGTACAGGTTCATGAACAGAGCCGTCGTCGGCCTGAAGTCTAGCTCATCGCAACGGAGAAGAAAGCCGACGATGAGCGAGTAGCTGTTGGGAGTCAACAAGGCCGTAGGGAGACCCACCATGTCCAGATACTCCGTAATGAATGGGTGGAGGGGGAACCTAAGTCCCTTTGCGAAGCACATGGGGTATACTCCAAAATACCCCGGAGGTGGATTCGACACATGATCCGTCGGCTTGGGTGCCCTAACCCGCCCATACGGCCCCACGTACATCTGGGTCACCAAGTAATCGGCCGCGCTACTCTCCGGCCTGATCAGATAAAGGTTGGTCATATCCAGGTAAGAGAAACCTGGACCACTTTTCGGCCGCCGCTTTCTCGTCGGAGCAACTCCCTTTACAGCAGAAACCGGCTTCGGGCAAGGAATTGCAGCCGATGTAGACGCCCCATCCACAACACGTGACGCCACTACGTCCTCACCATCAGACGACGAGGCGGCCTCTTCGTCCTCACCCTCACTCTTCCCTGATCTGAAGGAGCTCAGCTCCTCTATCTCCTCACAGCACTCTTCTACCACCTCGTAATCAAGAGACTTAGCAGAGGGCTCATCGTCGTATGGGTAGTACTCGTCGTTCAAAGGCTTCATCATAATAACAACTAACTAAAGCCTAAGGGTTTATACTTTGGATCTAAGGGTGTTTCTCCACTAAGAGAGGATCAAAGCTAAAATAAGCAAAGCACACAAGTAATTTGGGAAAAGTTCGACGAACTGACCTTTGAAGTTTTGAAGAACGGAAGAACACACGCAAGGGCTCTCTCTCTAGAAAATTCAGTAGCACTTCGTTATCTCAGGAATGCAATGAGGAACCTCTTCAGAGGGGGAGGGGGGGGTATTTATAGACCTCCCCCCAACGGTAACTACAGTGGCAACCTCCCATTGGCCACATGAACGGCCACCACCCCCAAGGCCCATTGGGCTGGCACCGGTTTAGAAGACGGGTCAGGCCTACTTCCACAATACCAGCTCATCGCCAACAGGCCAACCACTCAACGGCCACACAAGGAAATCGTGCCTACATCGGCCTCAACACAATGACACTTCAAAAGGGTAGGTCACATCCCAAGGCATGTCCATATCGGCTTGAAAAGAATGCCAATTGCATGGCCTTTTCAACGGCCACAACGGTAAAAGCAAGATTAAACCCCACGCCATCGGCCCTGTGTAAAACCCTGATGATAATTTCTTGAAAGCGACCTGCGTCCAAGGGTTCTCCCACAAGGTTACCTTGGTCTGGAAATCGCCAAGGAATTGGATTCAGGTGTACACAAGAGTCCGCTTCGGCCTAGGCAAATCCTTTACTCCTTCACCCCTCACCTACTCTTTGGCCTGAAGTAGTGGGGGACTGGGGGACTACACCGGCCTTTGCAAATCAGGACAAAATCAAAGAAATCCAAAAAAATACCAAGTTCACAACTACAACATCAGACATGCACCACAACGTCCATAACCTCGTGGTGCACCGTCGGCCGCAGAGCACTTGAGACCACAAAGCACTTATCGGCTTTGAGACCACATACTCCACTCCCGGCCAGGAATCAAAGAACAGGAAGTCAACATACCTGAGTCACCATCGTCCATAAGACCAGGACACGCACCACTCCTCCCGGAGCAGTGTCAGTATCATCCTCAAAAGCGTGAACGCCAAACTACGGACACCACCGCTCCGGCCAAAAAACACAGAACGCAGCCAACGGCCAAAGGAAGCAAACAGCACCCTCACCGGCCACCCGGAAACAAAAGGACACTCATCATCCTCGAACAGGAGATAACCACAAGGGCCTCCTCGGCCCAAAAAGCGCAAAATTCAACCATCAACTGTCAGGAGTGGGCATGACCTTCATCGGCCATTCATGACAAAGGACGCTCATCGTCCCCACCAAGCAAAGACACCCAACGTCCTTAAATAGAAAATACACACCATGACTGGTTCCCTCTTCGTCTACAACGGCCAAGACGCTAAGTACCCACGACGGCCATAAAACAAGGAACCGGATCAAATGGTGCCCGTAACGGCTAAGAACAAGAAAGGGTCCCACAATGGCCAGAAAATGTTAGAAGCAAGAAATCTACTCTCCCTCGCCTCGTCTACGTGTCAGCTCAGAGAGTGGGTGTAATACCCGAGATTAATTTAAGAGGATTAATAGTACTACTCATACCAACAAGATGCATCTCCTTTTAAGGGAGCTCATCACCCAAGAACTCCAAAGTTAAGCGTGCTTGCACGGGAGTAGTCTTGGGATGGGTGACCCCCTGGGAAGTTTCTCAGGGCGCGCACGAGTGAGGAAAAAGTGCGCGGAAAAGGCTAGTGGCGGTTTGTGAGGACAGTACTAGAGGTCAGAAGTAACTACCTCGGGGCCTACGGGGCCGGGGTGTTACAGGTGGTATCAGAGCAACCCTGCGACAGTGTGCTGACCCGTTAGATATCGGGCGGGCACTTAGCGGGGCAAGATTCTGGGGTTTTATTGAGATTGGTTTAAGGGCGCAACGAGGACGTTGCGATCCTAAGTGGGGGTGATTGTAATACCCGAGATTAATTTAAGAGGATTAATAGTACTACTCATACCAACAGAGGTGCATCTCCTTTTAAGGGAGCTCATCACCCAAGAACTCCAAAGTTAAGCGTGCTTGCACGGGAGTAGTCTTGGGATGGGTGACCCCCTGGGAAGTTTCTCAGGGCGCGCATGAGTGAGGACAAAGTGCGCGGTAAAGGCTCGTGGTGGTTTGTGGGGACAGTACTAGAGGTCTAAAGTAACTACCTCGGGGCCTACGGGGCCGGGGTGTTACAGTGGGGGACTCCTGATGGAGTATATGAGCCTGGACCCCATGGCCCACACACTCGGAAGAACAGAAGGTACCACGATCACCTGGTGGGACCCTCGTCGGCCAGGTGACCCCCATCGGCCAGGAAGCAGTCTACTCAAAATATGGTTCAGGAGCCAGGAGAACCGGGTGACCTTGTCGGACGGGTCCTCGTCGGCCGTGCCCTCATCGGCCACGAGCGGCCCCCAGAATAGAATCTTATACTTAATTATTTCTACATCTCTTGTACCTGGCCCAATAGTGGCCTTATTGTAAATGGGCCTCCCAAACCCAAGACTTGGGAGCCCAGCCCTAATTTTCCCTATAAATACGACCTCTGGGAGTAGTTGCAGGGGTTCACAAAATCATTTATTGAAGCATTTACTTGCACTTCTCTCTCTAGCTCTCACTTCTCTCTAGATATATACTCTATCAATGAGTATATCAAATATGCATTTAACCAATCCATTATGATTTGAGATAAATTAGTAAGATTGCTAAAACCATTTTAAATCTCATATGAATAAATATTATTCATACTAAATTTTAACACTCAACATAAATATTTGATTAAGAGTAGCAAAGTTGATATTTCTAGAACTCACGAGAGAGTTATAAATAAAAACTAAATAATCTCAGAAAGCCCAGTTCTCATTGTAGTGGATATTATAAAACTAATTTTACATTTAATTTTCCATGTGTTGAGTCTCTTGTTCTTCACCGACTCTATGATATATATTTCTGACAACAATATTTCTCACTTGGATTGTGACTATATTACAATATAGATTATCATATTTGATGTAGAGAAGATCATGTAATAATACATAGAATGACTTGTACTTCATAAGTCTTAACTCTTAATAGTGTGTTAGATATACTACTCAATTTTTGTTTAATTTGAGATGTTTATCAATTTAATGTCAAAGATATCGTCTAGGTGTAAACATTGTAGTTGACATTATTAAAAAAAATACCAAAATTGTATAAGGCCCTTTAAATAAGGAGATAGATAATTTATTTACTCATATTTATGTGACTCTCTCTCGTTTTACATGTACATCGTGCACATTGTGGCATTGAAAATGCTCTTAGATTTCCACTGTCATCTAATGACATAGTTAAACATATAACATATGCGTCCCGTGCAACGCACAAGTAAAGAATCTGGTGTTTATTAATTTAATGAGGTGAAACATATCATGTAATGTCACATTAGCAAAGTTGACATGTGACAATGCTTTCCATAATTGTAAACTAGAAATGTATTATTTATAAATATGTAATTCGATAAAAAATTTAGTCCAGGCCCAAAAGAATAATAGTCCATTTAATGAACATTGATGACATTTAGATTGTTATATTATGCAATCCTAAATTCCATTGAAAATTCAATTCATACATGTTATTAAGACATGAAGTTGAGTGGTGAAGTTTTTGGAATCGCTTATAATGGAATGCTGAATAAATAATAAAAACTTTGCAAAAGAAAATGTGTGATTGATAAATAAGAATAAAGTACTAAAGTTGTTTTTACTTGGACGGTAATTTGTCCCAGACCAGATCAGACTAAAATAGAACAGATCAGATCAAACCAGATTAAAACAGATCAGACCATATATTATTATTATTATTATTATTATTATTATCACTGTCACTGTCACTGTCACTGTCACTGTCACTGTCACTGTCACCGTCACCGTCACCGTCACCGTCAACCGTCAACCGTCAACCGTCAACCGTCAACCGGCAACTGGCAACTGGCAACTGGCAACTTCCAACTTCCAACTTCCAACTTCCAACTTCCAACTTCCAACTTCCAACTTCCAACTTCCAACTTCCAACTACCAACTTCCAACTACCAACTAGCAACTACCAACTACCAACTACCAACTACCAACTACCACCTACCCCCCCCACCACCACCTACCCCCCCCCCACCACCACGACCACGACCACGACCACCACCACCACCACCACCACTACTACTGTTACTACTACTGTTACTCTTACTGTTACTGTTACTGTTACTGTTACTGTTACTGTTACTGTTACTGTTACTGTTACTGTTACTGTTACTGTTACTGTTACTGTTACTGTTACTGTTACTGTTACTGTTACTGTTACTGTTACTGTTACTGTTACTGTTACTGTTACTGTTACTGTTACTGTTACTGTTACTGTTACTGTTACTGTTACTGTTACTGTTACTGTTACTGTTACTGTTACTGTTACTGTTACTGTTACTGTTACTGTTACTGTTACTGTTACTGTTACTGTTACTGTTACTGTTACTGTTACTGTTACTGTTACTGTTACTGTTACTGTTACTGTTACTGTTACTGTTACTGTTACTGTTACTGTTACTATTACTATTACTATTACTATTACTATTACTATTACTATTACTATTACTATTACTATCATCATCATCATCATCATCATTAGTAGTGTTATTGTTGTTATTATTAGTACACTAACTATTTTATTATTGTTTGATTTAGTATGTTCGTATTTTAAGTCATACAAGTGACATAATAATATAGATGATCTTGATTTGTAAAAACAAAGAAATAAAAATAAATAAATAAAATCTTGATTTGTAAAAAAATTGTATGAATAATAGGTAAACTATAAATATTTTTAGAACAAAAAAAAGTACTATAAAATAATAAATATCATCATGCATCCGTTGCTCTAGGTAAACTATAAAAATTGTACTCCCTCCGGTCCCAAAACAAATTCAGTGTTTGACTTCACACAAATTAAGGAAATAAATATGACTTTACTGTAGACTACATTGTTGTGACACTGTTTGATATTGTTTTGCATTGTTTGACACTGTTTTGCACTGTTTTGATGTAGATAATTTGCCAAATAAGGAAGGGAGAAGAAGTGTGAAGTTTATTTTGGACCTACCCAAAAAGAAAAGTGTGAATTTGATTCGGGACCGGAGGGAGTATGAATAATGGGTAAACTATAAAATCTTTTTATAAGTATTATAAAAAATAATAGAAAAAAAAATTCAGACCAGACCAGACCATACAATACCAGACTAAAATAGACCAGACCAGTCAAGCAAGTTAAAGTCGAAGTAAAAAAATCCTAATTTGTTTTAATACTTCGTATTACCTAAGCATGTACTACGTATAAAGGTACGAGCCTACCAGGCCTTAAGAAAGAGGACAATGGCAAACATCTAAATCCACATATTGTATGTTTGATTTTTTGTATGTTTGATTTTTTGTATCTCTTTCTAAATCCATCAGAATGTTAACACACTTGATTCAGTACGAGATTCAAATTTATTATTGTGATCTCGTTTGATGAACTTGTTTTTTGGTTTATCAGTAAGTTTTGATTTAGTATATATTTTTTCCTTTATTTTATTAATATAGTACTATGTATATTATTATTATTAAACAACAGAATCAACCAATCCATTCATTTCAATCAAAACTTCATAAATTTCAAAAGAATCAATCAATTCAACCAATTTCGCTGTTACCAAAAAGACATATTTGAAATTTAGATTTGCAATAAGGATGTTTTTACTTGGACTGTAATTGGCTGATCTGGTCTGGTCTGATCTGGTCTGGTCTGGTCTGGTTTCTTTTTATTTTTATAACTATCCAAGTCTGGTATGGTCTGGTATGGTCTGGTCTGGTGTGATCTGATCTGGTCTGGTTTGATCTGGTCTAGGACGAATTACGGTCCAAGTAAAAACATCCTAAATATCACACACCTTTTTCCCTATACTTTTATGCAAAAATGACATGACTTTCTTGAATGTTCCGATGTTCGAGAATTAATTATAGAGTAATTTTTTTAACATGTACTCCCTCCGTTCCTAAATAAACTTCCAACTTTCCTTTTTCGTCCGTTCCAATTAAAACTTCCACTTTCCCTTTTTGGTAAAGATTTTGTGGTTCACAACATTTCTTACACATTTCTCTCTCCTCTGCACAACTCTCCACCACACAATATCCACTATCTTAAACTTTGTGCCAAACCCATTTGGAAGTTAAAATAGGAACAGAGGTAGTAATAAATAAATACATAAAATATGTGTATTTGAACGTTTTTAAAAATACTTCGTATGTCATGATCTAAAAACAATAAAAATTATAATCAGCTTCAAAGTTTAATGATGTCCGAGCGCGCGGGAAAACGCTTGCCGTGGGGGACATTTTTTACGCGCCATCATTGGGCGCGCGCGGGGTGAGGCTAAGATGTGACCAGCTGACACCAGACAAACCCTAATATACACACGTAGGGACGACGAACGAGAAGAAGAAGAAGAATCAGAGTAGAAATGGAGGAGGTCAGGCCCGAGTTCCCAGCTTTCCCGTACAAACCCTACCCCATTCAGCTCGATTTCATGAATGCGCTCTATCAATCCCTCCAAGACGGCGGTATTGCTATACTGGAGAGCCCAACAGGTACCCCCCTCGCCTTCTATTTAGTTATCTTCTTACGAACGCGATTATAAGTTTTTGTTCTTTGCCTGGGGCTATATTCGATTGAAATGTGAATGATCTAGGAACCGGGAAAACCTTAAGTATCATATGCAGTGCTCTACAGTGGCTTATTGATAGAAAGCAATTACCGAAGGATAAATCCGTAAACCAAACAGGACCAGATGACGAACCTGATTGGATGCGTAACTTCGTGCTTAACTCTGAAACCAAATCACCTGAAAAAAAGGAGGTGAAAAGAACAGTTTATAGGAAAAGTAATTTTAATAGGAAAAATGAAAAGCAAGCGTCTTTTAAAACTACTGGGCGCAAGGAGAAGATTTCTTTGAAGTTTGAAAAAGGGTTAGAGGATGAGGAAGATTTTTTGATGGATGAGTATGAGAGTGAAGATGAAAAAGATGGGAATTCGAAAAGAAAGAGTGCTAAGAATGCTGTGAGTTCATCCAGTGAGGATGATGATGACGATGATGAAGAGAAGGAAGAGGCAAGACTGAAAGTTTACTTTTGCAGCAGGACCCACTCTCAGCTTTCCCAGTTTATAAAGGAGATAAAGAAGACCAAGTTCGCTAGTGAATTGAATGTTGTGTGCTTGGGCTCCAGGAAAAATTTGTGCATCAATGAAGGTACACCAAAGTGGCAATTTTTGAAATTTTTGATCATACTCCTATGAGTCTATCACCACAAACTTGTTAAATATGTCCAGTTTGGAGTTTATATCAGATGTATTGAAACTGGGGACCCCAGCACTAATAAATGAGAGATGCGTAGAGCTTCAAAAGAGTAGGAAACAAGGATGTTGTAAAATTTCCAAAACAAAGGTATCACTTTGTCAAGTTAGAGTATGCTCTGCTCATTTGTTATTCGTGCACAGTGCAGCATGATATTTTATGAGATTAACTTGTTATCATGATAGTAATATTCTTATGCATGCTTTCTTAAAAACTAATATGACATAATTAACTCTTCTGGAAGTTTATCTCTCATTAAAATGCAAATTTTGATTTGCTTTAGATTTCAGTATCTCCACACGTTCATGCTTAGATTTAATTTTTTCTCATAGAGTGATTCTTGGTAGTTTCTTCCATCATTTGCAATGGAGCCAAAGATTCATTGTTTTTTGGCTTGAGATTATGATGGAATAAAGCAAAATGGCTCACTAAACTGTCTGCGCTTCTTTGTTATGAAGCAGCAGTCAGTCCATGCAATTTTGGACGGGATTTTCACTATGGGTCATCCGGAAACAGTCTCTCTGTGCTTTAGTACAGGGGTAAGACTGCGTACATCCGACCACCCCTTACCCCACCGTAGGTGGGAGCCTTTTCGGCACTGGGGTAAATGAAAATGAAATGAGTGATTCTTGGTAGTCTCTCGACTATACAATATTACTCACTTGGGTCATTGGCTATGGAACTTGGAACTAATGTATTCTCATAAATATTGTCTTAAAATATTAAAGGTCTTTTTTTCAATTCACTTAAATTCTACCCAATTCATGAGTTGATTTGCTCCTTTACTATGTAATACCGACTCAATTTAGTCCTCCACATGGGCATAGCTACGGTTGGCCTTGGCCCACCCCAAATCTTAAAAATGCTGAAACAATATGTGTAAAAGTTTATCTAGAAAAAATTCTTTGTACTTGTCCATCACAATTTATACCCCTGGCTACACCACTGGTCCTCCATGGACAAACATACCCTTCATAAGTACAGTAGAAGTATCTGAGAACTAAACTGAGCTTAAACTGATCTGCGGAGGACCAGATTGAGTTTAAGATAAAGTTAAAGACCAAATGGAGTAGTAGTAATAGTTGAGGGACTAATTTGGGTGCTAAATTTTCTTTTATGATATATTGGTTTCGTTTTGGGGATTTTTGGCTTGAGCTCCTGGTGCTTACCTGCAGAACATGAGCATCAAGGGAAGAGTACGACGGACAAAAGCTTCATCTGGGTGCCCAATGCTTAGAAGCCGCAAAGTGGAAAAAGAGTTTATGAGTGAGATTTCTGAACAAGGGCCTTTGGATATTGAGGATGTTGTTCATATTGGTCGTCAGCTGGGAACATGCCCATATTATGGTTCCAGAAACCTGGCCCCTAAAGCAGACCTTGTTGTTCTTCCTTACCAATCTCTTCTTTCAAAGTCATCTCGTGAATCCCTTGGTTTGTGTTTAAAAGGTAATGTTGTGATTATTGACGAAGCTCATAATCTTGCTGACTCTCTTATCAGCATGCATGATGCAAGAGTTACTTTGTCTCAGGTAAAGTAAATATCCATGCTTTTGACAAACAATACCTTATAAGCTTTTGCCACCCTCATTTAGCCATTTATGTGTTTTGTATTTTAGACAAAGTTAAGTGTGTGTTTCAGATGGTTTATTTCAAAGTTAAGTGAACGAGAAGTCTTTTCACTAAATAAAATAAAATAAAAAAGCACTTTTGAAGCATTTGGTTGGATAATGGAAATGTACGTGTAATGTTTATTTAGAATGCAGCATTTTTGTGCCTTTTCTGAAATGAAATTCATATCCACTTATAACTTATAATAAATGGTTGGACTAAAAGAGAACGGACTCTGTATTTACTTACTGTCTGTCATATTTCAGTTGGACCGTGTTCATTCTCATATGGAAAGTTACCTCAAGAGATTTCAGAATCTTTTAGGGCCGGGAAATAGAAGATATATCCAGACACTGATGGTAATCACTCGGGCCTTTCTCCGGATTTTGTGTCATGAGATGAATACTGGAGGCCCATTTTGCCCTGCATCAGAAGGAACTGAAAGTGGTTTTGAGTTTTCCATGACAATTAATGAATTCTTGTTTTCTCTCAACATTGACAACATAAACCTTGTCAAACTGGTCTATTATATGCAGGAGAGCAATATAATTCATAAGGTGAGTACTGCAATTCATTTAGGTTGTAACCTTTCTTAGCTTTTGAAGCTTAAAATGATGTTGTGATCTTTCAGGTCTGTGGATATGGAGATAAAGTAGAGAAAGTATCAGTTTCAGAAGCCAGTGACCAAAGAGATGGGGAGGGAAGCTCACTATCAGGTTTCCAAGCACTGCTTGGTATGTTGCTGTCTTTAACAAATAAAGATTCAGATGGAAGGGTAATAGTATCAAGGACAAGGCCAAACCCCGAAGGAAAGAAAGGAGGTTATCTCAAATACGTCATGCTCAGTGGAGAAAAGATATTTTCTGAGGTTTGCCAAATTTCTTGTGCCCCATTTGCTGGCATTAATCGGCTTATTCTGCTCATCAGCAGAATAAGCAGCCCTTGGGCTTTGACTTGCGTATTTGGCTGAAATGAATCAAATCCTTTACCTCTCACAAAACCCTTATCAAAGGGGCCCTTAATCATACTTTCGACAAATAACTAAAGCTAGTTTTAATATCAACCACGTTTAGTTACAGACTCTTATTTCAGGTGCTAAATCAAGCCCAGGCCGTCATATTAGCTGGGGGAACTCTACAACCTATAGAAGAAACAAAGGAACGCTTATTCCCATCTCTACCTCCCGAGAGGATGCATTTCTTTTCATGTGGTCATATCATACCTTCTGAAAATATATTACCCATTGCTGTTTCCCATGGGCCATCTGGTCATTCCTTTGATTTTAGCTACAGTTCCAGAAGCTCCCAGATCATGGTAAAACTCCCTTCACCATCTTAACCATTTTCTTACCAAACTTTAGAGCATCTTGAAACTTATTTTTAATTTGATGCTCAAAATATACAAATCCCTTTCCTAGCATTGTTTTATTTTTAATTTGATGCTTAAAATATACGAAATATATGATCCCTTACGTGGTTATTCATTATTACTCAATATGGTCCTCGGATTTTTGGGAACTGAATTTGGTCCTCCGCTACGCAAATTGGACCGAATTAAGTTCTAGTACATAGTTGATTCTACATAAGGTCTTTTTTGGCAATTTACTAAAATTTTGACCCAATTTAGGACCACTTTGGTCCAGAACTATGTAATTTGGTCCAAAAAAAGTTGAGTGAAAGTATAATTGTATAAGTTGAGGGACTATGTTAGGGAGTGGGAGGCAGATGGGCCGAGGCTCTAGGAGGAGGCAACTAGGCCGATGCTTCAGGAGGACGGGCCTCGCCCGATATTAGTTTATCGTCGCTGTGAGTGGACCTAATTGGATTGGGTTGACTGCTGGGTTTTATCACTTTCATCCAATTGTTATTTCTAATAAACTGTTGGGCCTAGATGGCCATATTTTATTGTTAGGTTACTGGGCCTAGATGGCCATGTTTTATTATTAGGTTAATGAGTATTTAAGGAGGTCTGATCTTGTGAACTACTTGTATTATTCATTATAGAGAATAAAGATTTGGTTTGAGCCTAAGGCTGGGGCAGACGTTAATATTGTCTGCTAGGGTTTTCTTTTTCTATCAATTTGGTCTGACCTGCCGGATCCTATCCACCACCCTACGTTCATCATGACTCGTTCCATCATTGATCAACACATGGATGCAATATAAGCGGAACAGAAGGACATCAGGGCAGAAGTGCAATCCACTAACGCCAAGTTGGATGCTATCACACAAACCCTAGACAAACTGGCGCAGAAGGTTATGGCTTTGGGGGAACCGCTGGCTGATTCAGAGTCAGGAGGAGGAGGCACGGCTGACTCGCAGAACTCCCACAACCCTAGCTCTGTGGCTGCGCCTCTGACGCTACTAGCGTTTGAGGGGGCAAACCCGATTGGATGGCTGGCTCGCCAGGGCCAATCAGCAGTTTGAAATCAATCAAACCCGACCTGAGTTGAAGGTGGTGTCAGTCATGGTAGCAATGGAGGGTGCTGCTCTGTACTGGTTTTCTTGGACACGGTCGCGGAAACCAGACATAGCCTGCGAGGAGTTTTCACAAGCCCTTGTAGCCCGTTTTGATACTCGGTTCAAAGGAAGCACGTTCGAACGGTTGGCCGACGTTAAGCAGACAGGTTCCGTGGATGACTATGTGAATATGTTCGTGCAATTAGCCAGTCAGGTCCCAGGTTTGAGTGATGCCAACTATTTGGGGTACTTTATGAAAGGGCTACGAGACACCATTCACAATTCCTTGAGGATCCTACGGCCGGCTGATTTGGAAGCTGCTATGGAGTTATCTAGAGATATCGAAGAGGACTTGGCCGTACAGTCTGGAGGAAGACCGGAACGGGGTTACAACGATCAGCAGTGCCCTTCCGGTAATTACACCAAAGTTGGCGGGTTTTCGGGGTTCTCTTCCACGCCAGTTGCTGGAAACCAAGGGGCAGCAAGAAGCACAACTTCCGCGCGATCTCCAGGTAGTACCTCGGGGTCCGGATCATCCATGACTGACCAGTCGGTGAATCGCTCTCGGTTCACACGCCTCTCACCGCAGGAATTTGCAGACCTACGTGCAAAAGGGCTTTGTTTCCGTTGCAAGAAGCCCTATACCCTCGGGCATGAATGTCCCCTAAAACACTTAAGAGTAATGGTTGTCGAGTAAGATGAGGAACTCGACCTCAACCAAACTGAATCTTTTATCCCACCCGAAGAGGTCGAGCAGCTAGGGGAACAGGAGGAGCAACAAGCAGCGGCTCTGGACTTGCCCATATATTTGATGACGGGAATTTGGAGTTCCCGTACTATGCGACTCAAAGGCGTGATTGAGGGGTTCACAGTGACCATCTTGGTGGGTAGTGGCACAAGTCACAACTTTATTTCAGCCGCCCTTGTACCACAACTCAAATTAAAGGCAGAAAAGACGAGGAGGTTTGGTGTACAGCCAGGGGACGGTCGTCGCCAAGAATCAGAAGAGGTTTGCAAGGGGGTGTTGATCTCGCTACCGGGGTGCGAAGTACGAACAGTTTGTTATGTGTTTCCTTTGGGAGGAGTGGATGTCATACTAGGAGTAGCATGGCTAGCATCCTTGGGAGAGGTCTGGACCAACTGGGATACGATGACTATGTCATTTGACTGTCAGTGCAGACCGGTAGTATTACAAGGAGACCCAGCACTCTGTCGGAAACAGGTGGACCTACAGGCCCTGCTTCGGACCAGGGACGTGGAATTTTGGGCAGTTGTGATAGAAGAAGAACCCGCCACTTTATTGTGGCCAAATGTGGAGCAGGTGTGGTGTAGTAGGTTGGTCAGATGAAAGGTGATGCGACATGGACTGGGGGTGCAGCAGTGCCAGCATCAGTGCCAGCATCAGTGCCAGCAGCAGCTTCCTCACTCCAACCTTGGGGACAAGGTTGTTTTAGAGGGGGAGGAAATTGTTAGGGAGTGGGAGGCAGATGGGTCGAGGCTCTAGGAGGAGGCAACTGAGCCGATGCTTCAGGAGGACGGGCCTCGCCCGTTATTAGTTTACTGTCGCTGTCAGTGGACCTAATTGGGCTGGGTTGACTGCTGGGTTTTATTACTTTCATCCGATTGTTATTTCTAATAAACTGCTGGGCCTAGATGGCCATATTTTATTATTAGGTTACTGGGCCTAGATGGCCATATTTTATTATTAGGTTAAGGAGTATTTAAGGAGGTCTTATCTTGTGAACTATTATTCATTATAGAGAATAAAGATTTGGTTTGAGCCTAAGGTTGGGGCAGACGTTAATATCGACTGCTAGGGTTTTCTGTTTCTATCAGACTAAGTGGGTATTAACTCTAGTATTTGCAAAAAAAACTCTAGTATTTATTCTTTCAGACCTAGTGATGTTAATTGGTTCATGGTGAACAGATTGAAGAGTTGGGGCTCCTGCTTTGCAATATAGCGACATTGGTCCCTGAGGGAGTAATTGTGTTCTTCTCATCATTTGACTATGAATCAATGGTCTACAATTCTTGGAAGGAATCAGGCATCCTTGCAAGAATTACAAAGAAGAAACGTGTATATAGAGAGCCTAGGAAAAGTTCAGAGGTGAATCTTGTTCTTAGAGAATACACAGATACGATTGATCACAAACGTCAACTTGAATCTATGAATGGTGCTATTCTCTTTGCAATTGTGGGTGGGAAAATATCTGAGGGTATTAATTTCAGTGATGGAATGGGGAGATGCATAGTCATGGTTGGACTTCCCTATCCGAGTCCCTCAGACATTGAGTTGATCGAGAGGGTGAAACATATTGAAGGAATCGGGCGTCCATCATCATTGATTAAAACACCTGAGGTTTCAGTTCAAGCTCAGTGTTTTAATGGGGATGCACAAGCTGGTCTAAACATACTAAGAAGCTGCAAGCACAGAGGGAAACAGTATTATGAGAATCTTTGCATCAAAGCTCTAAATCAATCTATTGGTATCTGCTATGCCCCAAAATTTCAGCTTTTGAATTTCTTCTTCTTTGTACTTGGGGGGTACGTTTAGATCATGGAAAATAATTAAAAAGGATAATGATATAATAATAGACATAAATAAATGATAATGATACGGTTTAGGGAAGTGGTAAACTTATCCCATCATTCCCACTCTTACTGTAAAATATCCCCACAATTTCTTCCCTAACCCTCTCCCCCGTTCACATCATTTTCTATCTTTTATTTCTCCCACATTCTTTTTAATTTCTCACCATCTGTTCCTTCCTACTTCTTTTCCCTAATATTATTCATGTCCTAAGCGAATAATATTAGGGTGGAGGCTATGTTTCTCAAGAGTCTCCGAAATGAAAACGTTCTTTTTCTAGAGAGTTTCCATGCTTTATAGGGTGGAAGTGGGAAGGGTTTGGAGGGCTTAACCCATATCTCAACAATATATGTTGAGATTTATAAATAAATTGAAAGATTAATGTAATATGTGATTTTTGTTGCAATCTTGATCACATTATAAACAAATGTTTTTGTAACATTTCTTGTGGCTATTCAGTATTTGACATTTATTCCACCAGGTAGAGCTATCAGACATATAAACGACTATGCTGCAATTTTGTTAGTTGATGGACGATATGCATCTGATCCAACAGAACGAAGGTCTTCTCATTTAACAAACAAGCTTCCGCAGTGGATCAAAGCCCGACTTGTTTCTTCAACTAGGAATTATGGAGAGGTCCACAGGCTATTGCATCACTTCTTCAAATTCCATAAAGATAAAGTAAACGGTTCCTAGGTTGTACTACATGAAACACAAATTTGTAGCCCTTCCTGTTTCTGAAGCAATTGTATTTATACTACATCCATGTCATTAGAGAGGTTGAGGGAACTGAAATTTAATGTATATGTAAACAAGTAATATGTGATATGAATTAAACCAAAGTTAGAGCCATCTTCAGTATATTGCACATTTCTTGATAAATGCTGTAGGTTCTCTGGAAAGCGCTAGTGAAAGAATACAGAGAAGAAATTCGGAAATAAAAAATTGTTTCAAGCTCAATAAATCATTTTAGATATTCTTCAAACTAATTTCTACAATAATATTTTTACTATAAAATTTTTCTTTCTTTTCCTTTTGGCTCTGATAATAATATGTATTGATTCATGTTAGTTGACCATTTTTTAGATTAAGGCTTGGATGTTGTAAAGACTACAAAATCTAAATAGATGTTCGATTTCTGAAAAGTTTAATGAAATTTGATTTACCTTTGAATTTTTGTAGGTAAAAGTGTAAAACGAAGCATAAAAAGCCATTTTGTTAGTATTAAAGACAATTCCCTTCCGTTTTGAATTATTTGTACACTGTATACTTCTACTGAACAAACTGTGTATCTGAGATGGTTTTGAAATCATTGATCAATTTATCATTCTTGTTGATCATTAACTAACACAGAATTGAGAATACAGTTCCCAAATTTCGAGAAATTCCAGCAGACAATTTTTATTCCCAAAAATTTGGCAGTGACCATTTTTTTGAGGGTGTGATTCGTGTGAACGTCTATTTTTCGTATTGTTCCATTATGAATGTGTTTATCACGTTACACATATGCCTTGAACCGTTGAACGTAAATGGAGGGTTCAAGAAATGGTGAGTGGGAATACTGTGGACATTTGAAGTATAAAATTATCAACAAGTAGGAATGCATTTAATACCAACTCAAAGGAAGATATGAAAGTAATCAAAGTATTTAATACCAACTCAAAGGAAGAACCAAACTTCTTATCCAGCATCTTCAGGCAACCCTTCTGCAATTCAGGCGAACCTTGCCCTGAGTTGCATTCAAGACTCCAAGAGTGGAAAGCTTCATCATTGAACGGCAAAACTTAAGGCGGAACAATTTCGCATCAGAAGCAAATGCTTCAACCCATTCTGCAGTTTCTTCAGATACCGTCAATTGCTGATCGGAGAAGAGTATCCCTTTGCTCTGTAGAAGGCTTTGGTAGTATATTGTACCGAAACCATTTCCAGGTCCCTTGTAGTCCATCTTGATTGCCGACTCCTCTTGTGCTGGTGAAGGTGCTGTTTGGCTAGTGTTGCATTTCGACCTTAAATGGTTGAGGAATTCGGTATCTAGAGAAGGGTCTGGGTCTTTAGTTCCTCCAAGACGGTCGCTGAAGAAGTGACAATGGATCACACCTGTGCTGTGGCTCCCTGTGCCGCATGCAATAGATGCATCACATAAGTTCTACATTAAGGGCCCATTTGGTAATCGGAACATGTCAGGGAAAGAAAACAGACAAGAAATTTGGAAATCAAATGTGCTAGAAAATAGAACATTTCAATATTATTTCAAACTCAATGCCCATATCATGTACTCGTATTTACTTTTCACGTTTGTTCAAACTGGTTTTATTTCTCTATTCACATCAAATAAAGATTAATAAATTTAAACATGTGTAAAAAGTTACAAAACACTATGCATATTTCGTTTTCCTCTCCATTCTTCCAAGGGAAATACAAACACGCAAAAATTCCTTAACATTTTTTTCTCTTTTCCATAGCATTTTATTTTATGGGATGCAAACGTATCTTTGGAACTCCGTGAAATACCAGTGAAAAGACAACAACAATAAATGATTAGAGGAAATTAGGAAAACAAGAAAGATGAGCTAAAAGCCCAAAAGGCTAAAACTCAATAAAGTTATCTGACTTATCTCAGATACTTGTTGATAGTTTTGATATTCCTTTTTATTTATTTTTTATTTTTTATTTACTTATTTATTTATTTATTCATTATTTATTTATTTATTTATTTATTTATTTATTTATTTATTTATTTATTTATTTATTTATTTATTCATACGGAGAATTATTAGACCTGTTTCGATGATTAAAATATTAATCATGTGCCATTTTTCTTGGCATTTTCTATTGCAAACCCAACATTATAAAATAACACTATAAAACAACTTTTCTTAGCAGTTTCTTTCCTCCTTTCCAGAAGTGTCTTCTGAGATGCAAGCATACCCTTAGAGCAGAGGTAAGAAACTATGCAGATGAAAAAGGTTTTTATCAATCTTGCCGGGGGGATTTTACACTTACCACTCAATGGATTCTTTTTTTTTTTACCTATACCTATGGCGGTGGAATGTACTTCTTTTATGGACAAAAGTAAACAAGCCAAGCAAAGTGCTTCACTAGCTTCAGACTCATAGCGGAAAAATACTTCCGTTATTATCAGGTACCTAATAGACTGACCACCTCCCATTCTTTGAAACCTTTTGATGAGAACTTGTCAAGTATCTTGGGAAGATCATCTGTAGGTGCTGGGAGTTGATTAGCAATTTGAAGGTAAGCAATGAGACTATCCTTTCTTCCAGTAGTCAATGGGTAGAATGGACCACCAACCTGGTGGAATACTTGAAGTTTCAGTGATGATGATGATGATAATAGTAATAACTATTACGTAGTATAATTATGATATCCATATTATTGTTATTATTACTATTTATATTGTTTTTATAAATAGTATATTGTTTTTTATTGTTTTTATAAGTATTATTCCATACTTCATGATGATTATGCATATAAATAATACTTCATGAGAGGATGCATAAAAACATTATTTATGATGAAATTTGAGGATGCAATTAAATGTTTTTCATGATGAATTAAATGATGAATTAAATGATGAAATGATGAATTAAATGTTTTTCATGAGAGATTTCCTTATTTACCAGAATAACACTCTCTCTTGCAGCCAGAACAATAATATCTGCACAAGAAACAACTCCTGGGCAGGTCTCTTCAAGCTCGGATTTGATGATATCAATCACATCATCACCCTTTAAAAGCAAATTGGGAATTGCTTCCTTCTCACTTTCAATTCCATTAGCTGGGTCTAGTAAAACCGAGGCATCACAGCCCTAATTCAAACATCGACCATTCCCATATTACCCTCAATTCAGAACCATCGAAACAGATATGCAGACTTTAGAACCAACTCATAATCTAAACATGTCACTACAAATTATGCACTCCGTACATTAGAATCTACCAATTACCAAAGACAATCATTGTCAGTCTTAACTCTCAACACTGAGTACTTAAGGAGTTACTGGAGTTGAACATTTTCCCAAAGAAATGAATAAAATTTCTTTGAGGAGAAAAGTCTACAAAATTTTATTCATAACTGGTCGAAAAAAATGAAGATTAGCTCCTCACGGCAGAACTTTGAACAAAACTTATTCAATTAATATAAAAACTCATGGTCGTTTAGAATGTTGAAACAACTCAACATAAGCTGATAAGCAAATATGACCTCTGGGAGAAAGGAGAAACGAGTCTTAGGAAGAGAATTCATTCACTTTTAATTGTAACAGATTAAGGCAAGGAATTGCTTAAATTGAAACAAGCAGAATTTCATACAAGTCACCAACAGATTCGGTCAAAGAGGAGTGCGAGCTGGAAAATTGACCTGAACAAAGCAGTCATGGAAAACAAGCCTCAAAAGTTGAGGAGCAATTCTAGGACGCGTGCTGTAGAGGCTCCGTACGGTGGATCGAACAATGTACTCCGCCTGAGGGCACGTTTCGCCGTAGTAATCGTATCTGAGGCTCTCCGAAAGCACATGAACTTCAATCTTGTTGTCAGTGAATGTGAATGGAGAAGTTGGAAACGAGTCTTTACCAGCCTGCGAAGACTTCAACGTCTCGAAATTCGAAGAAAATGAAGAAGGATTCCTGTTGGTTTCGGCGTTCTGATTCTTCAAGCAGATTATCAGAACTACGATCAGGAAGACCAGAAACAAATGCTTTTTGAATTTCATTTCTCAAACTTATGGTTTTACTTGTTCTTCTATTTTATTTTTGAAAAATTGATCTCAGCAGAAGGTTTGGATAGCGGGAACTGGGAATATCAGAACCACCATTTGTTAGGGAGCATTTCTCTTTTGCTTGACCAATGAGGTCGGTAAAATAGTTTTAAAAGTGTTTATCTAATGTTTCAATTTACTGTGTCTCAAATTGTTTTGCAAAATCAACATTTGTTGATCGATCAATAAAAAAAGTCAATGCTCCATATCGATAATTAATTCAATTTTTAATAATTGAAATTATTTGATTTTTGGTCCATGGAGTGTTGTTTGCACTCTTGGACCTTGCTTTGCGAACATGGTGTTTTCTGGGCATCCGGTTTGTCCCTTTGATCCTTCTGGATCAGGAAAGTGTGCATCACACTTTTCAATTTGTGTTTCTGGGTCCTGTGTGACCCAGGGAGTGTCTTTTGGATACCTCCAATTGTTGGCCTAAGATATCCTTAGATGTCTTGGGCAACCAGCGATGATGAGTCTTTTTCATGCCACATTTTTGCTCTACACCACATAGGACCAATATAAGGTGGAGAATGTGAGAGGTATTGGCCCTATGGGCCTTGGCCTTCTTCTCCAATTTACCCAGGACTTGGGCCTATATCATTTGTTACCACCCAACCCATTTTCTTCCTTGCTTGATTCATTCCTTTGTGTTCGGCCCCTTTACTCTCTGTGACCTACTTACCTTGTTGGGCTTTCCCTGACCCGCCTATTTAATCCTTTGATCTGTCACTCTGCCGGGTGGAGTGAGCCGCATCTGTAACCCTAGTTCTAGAGTTTTCCTTTTAGAGAGAGAAGGCCTGACTTCTCTCTAGTCATTACCCTTCTTCCACA